CCACCATAATTCCCTAATATAAAGCTTTTTTATTAAGCTTTTTCTACCCCTTATTACATATATAGTTCTTCAAAATTATTTAAATTTTGTAGAATATTTGAATTGATTATCTCTAAATTTTAGTTTGCTAGTGCGAATTAGCATTAATTACCTCTAATAAAGTACTAATTGCCTAAAAATGAATTTACTTACACTATTCTTTAATTAAAATTATTAAAACTACTTTCAAAATATGGGCACTGTTGTGTTTGCTCGCATTAATGAGTTTCAAAATTTTAATAAGTGAATGAGGAGCACATTTTTTGGCATTGATTTTTTGTAAAAGGAGACTCAATAAATTCAACGCTTGATTCACAAAAGTTTTATTTTAGAAAACACTTATTATTTTCTTAACTAAGTTATAAATTAACATCGCATTTTAAGCAATTTTAGCTAGCATCACATTAGATACATCCTTCAACTAAGCATTAAACACATTATGAGTTTTCTGTATTTATATAGCCTTATAGACAAGTTTAAGTACATTAAAAGTTATTTTAAAAACTATTAAAAGTATCAGTTTGGCATTTTATACAGTTGTCTTCATTAATATTAAAGCACTGTTAGCAACTGCTAGAACATTTCAAGCACTATTAAGTTAATATATTATAAATTTCCCCATTCAAGCACTAGCACAGCAACTTTGAAAATATAACTGAAAATATAATTATATAGTAATCTATTTTCATAGTTAATTTTGTATTGTGCCTATTTTTTTTGACTTTTTTTATTATTTTTTTACAGTTTATTAGCTAGTTTGTTTGTTTGTTTACTGTTTATTAGCTAATTTGCCTGCCTGCTTGCTTGATTATTGTTTGTTTGTTTTTTACTGTTTATGAGATAGTTTGTTTGTTTTTTTACTGTTTATTAGCTAGTTTGTTTGCTTGCTTACTTTATTTTTTGTTTGTTCTTTTTTTTACTGTTTATGAGATAGTTTGTTTGTTTTTTTACCGTTTATTAGCTAGTTTGTTTGTTTGCCTGCTTGCTTGCTTGATTATTGTTTGTTTGTTTTTTTACTGTTTATGAGATAGTATGTTTGTTTTTTTACCGTTTATTAGCTAGTTTGTTTGTTTGTTTGTTTGTTTGTTTTTTACTGTTTATTAGCTAGTTTGTTTACTTGCTTGCTTTATTTTTTGTTTGTTCTTTTTTTTTACTGTTTATGAGATAGTTTGTTTGTTTTTTTACCGTTTATTAGCTAGTTTGTTTGTTTGCCTGCTTGCTTGCTTGATTATTGTTTGTTTGTTTTTTTACCGTTTATGAGATAGTATGTTTGTTTTTTTACCGTTTATTAGCTAGTTTGTTTGTTTGCTTGCTTGCTTTATTTTTTGTTTGTTCTTTTTTTTTACTGTTTATGAGATAGTTTGTTTGTTTTTTTACCGTTTATTAGCTAGTTTGTTTGTTTGCCTGCTTGCTTGCTTGATTATTGTTTGTTTGTTTTTTTACTGTTTATGAGATAGTATGTTTGTTTTTTTACCGTTTATTAGCTAGTTTGTTTGTTTGTTTGTTTGTTTGTTTGTTTATTTGCTTATTTGCTTGCTTGTTTGTTTGTTTACTGTTTATTAGCTAGTTTGTTTTATTTTTTGTTTGTTCTTTTTTACTGTTTATGAGCTAGCTTGTTTGTTTTTTTTACTGTTTATTAGATAGTTTGTTTGTTTGTTTGTATTTTTACTGTTTTTTTACCTTTTATTAGCTAGTTTATTTGTTTATTTTTATGTTTATTTTTTTACTATTTTATTAGCTAATTTGTTTATTTATTTTTTACTGTTTATTAGCTAATTTATTTGTTTGTATTGCCTTATCAATAATATTTAATTTATGAAAAAAAACTTTCTCTAATTGATGTAATTTAAATGTATTAAAACTCATAAAGCTAATTAATATAAATAGAGGATACTGAACGAATTTCGTATGAAAAAGCTGACATTTTAAGATTTAAATTATATAATCTAAAAAATTTTAATATTTATTAACCAAAATAAATTCTAAAAGCAATTTTTAGCTTAAAAATTATTTTGTTTATTTGTTTGCTTGTTTGTTTTTATACTGTTTATTTGTTTGTTTATTTTGTCTCTATTAATATTATTTAATTACTAACTGATGAAATTTAAATGTATGTAAAATCAATCAGCTAATTAATAAAAAAAGGAAACAGAACGAATTTTTTTAAGATTTAAATTATATAATCTAAAAAATTTGAATATCAATTAACCAAAATGAAATCAAAAAGAAAGGATAATTTTTATTTATTAAGTCATAATTATTGGGTGTAAATAATTATTTCATTTTTAACTTAAAAATTATTAAATATTTTAATAAAACTTATTACTAAAACAATTTTTCAAATATTAACTTTTAATAATTAAAAAAACTCAAATACAATTATTATTTTTATTTGCTCAGAATATTATTTCTACATTTTTATGTTCCTTAATCTAATATAATGAATAAATATTTATTACTTTATATTTCTATTGTTATACTTAATACAGAAACAGAAAAATAGGAAGGTACTAAAAGAGGAAATGCATAGCACATATGCATAATATAGATAAAATAATATATAAAATAAGAAAGATTAAACCTTCATATTATTTGTCTAAGAAAATATATAAATTTTATTTATTTGAAAACCTAAAATTAATAGTAAATAATAAAGACATCAATTCGCTTTTTTATATTCAAAAGAGAAAAATTTGATCAAGTTTTTGTTTTAAAAATTCTTCTTAATTTATGAAAAAGAAATTTATTCATCAAATTATTTAATTACAAATTTTTTCTGATAAAATTAAATGAATTTGTAAATTTATATTTTATTTAAAACACCCAAACCCTTCTATAAATGATAATTAAATAAACAGAAAGACTCATTATTAATGCTTTCTAATTTACCTTATTTAATTCTTTTAAATAAAAATTTTAAAAAGAAAAATAAATCCACCCACATTCAAACTAAAATTGCTTATATTATTCTTACTAATTTTATTTTGGTATATTTATTACTAAATTAAAAGAATAGAAAAAATTGTTCTTTTTCTTTTGACTAATTTTAGTTTTATTTAAATTAATTATGTGATTTATCAATTATAAAAATGGCTAATATAGGATACTATTGAAATATTATTTTAGAAATTTTAAAAATAAAATAAAAAAATATAAAGTTTCTTTAATATAATAATATTTATTTTATGAACTAAATAATTATTTTTAAATATTATTTGTTTTGTTATTAGGTGGTAAGTAAGATGAGACAGGTTTATTTTGTAGAAAGCCAAAAAAGCAGAGTCATACGGAACACTTTAATTGAAAATATGTTTTATTTAAAGGTGGAAACCTTAACTAACTATTAAATTTTGATTAAGAATACACACCAAGTATTAATCTGATAAAAAACAATTTGTAATCATAAATATTTCAAATTATTTGGGAATTTACTTTTCTAGTACTCTTTAAATTTTTAATCATAAAAAAGTCAATTTGTTAATGGCTTGCAGAATTTTTAATAAAAATTTAGATTTTTCTGATAAATATTTGGTTAATTTATATATATTTTTTTTTTTACTTAGATAAATTATGTTAAAAATTAGGATTTATTCTTCACTCTAAGAAATTTTGTTAAGAGAGTAAGCTTGCTTAAATTTGTGGTGTATATTAATAGCTTTTAATTTATTTGATAAATTGATGAAGATATCATTTAAGATATAATCTAATTTAGGATTATTTTAACATATATTATCATAAATAAAAACACTAATTTTAACTTTAACAAATAAAATAATTCTATTTGTAAAAAGTATTTGCTTAATAATTTAAAATTATTTATTTTAATTCTTTAAATAAAATTAAGAGATATCATCTATTTTTATGTCAAATAATCAAGAATATTGACTAAAATTTTATAATAATATTTTTAAGATCCCCATCTGATTAAGATTTTTTTGAAAAATTGTGTTATTTCTTACAAATTCTAGTTATTTGTTTGTATTTATATTGATTTACATTTAGAAGGTTATTGCTAATAACAAAAATTAATTTAGTATAATTATATTTATGATAATAGATCTAATATATCTAAGAGTTACATATTAAAATAATATCTTTAAATAGATGCTTCATGTCAAAACACACTTTATATGAAGCTTTGTAAAGAGGTACAAAGTTTTTAAAAAGGCTTCACAATATTTATACTTTTATCTTATTTAGAAGTTTTATGATAAGTTTGAGTTTTAAGATATCTAATATATATAAATCAAATAAGTAATAAATGTTATAGTATTCATAAATAAATGCTTAGTTACACTGATATCTGATTTGGAGTATTCTGATTTGAAAGCTTGAATTACTTTCTAAAAAAATCTATTTGCAAATGATAAAATAAAAATAAATCCGATTAATTCTTCTTGGGAATGGCTAAAAATTCAAATTATATTAAAGAAATGCGACACGATTTTTAAGATCAGTGAATTTATTAATACTTAATTTAGTTAATTAGTAAGTAAGATTAAGCAATTTAATTAAATTCAAGCTATTTGCTTGTTTGGTCTTTTTGTATGATTAATTAGCGAATTAACATATTTCATCACTAAAATAGTTGATCCATTAAATATCTTAACTTTAAAATTAGGTAGTAACTAAAATAAGAATTAAATAAATCAGAAAAATATATTAATTTATCAGCATCAACTATGTAAGTTTGTTTGTTAGTTTTTTAAATAAAGTAGAATATTTTATTCCTTAAAATAGTATAAAACATTCTTTACATATCCTCTAAAAAACTTATTCGCAAGAGATAAGTTTCATTGAATTTTTTATTAAATTTTATTAGTCGATTTATCAACAAACTATTAATCTAATTATTTTTTATTAGTATTATTTCTAATTATTGTAATTAAACTTTAAGGCTCCATTTTTAGTATAAATACTGTCTAAATTAATCAAGAGAAAATATAATTTAATTAATTCAAAAAAAATTAAATTTCTAACTAAAAAACTCAATGAGATACTCTAAATTAAGTGCGCTTGCTCTAGTCCTCTTGATTAGTTGCTAAGTCTTTGCTACTGATTATAGAAACCTTCAATCATAAGGCGATTGTAAATGCACTTGCGATTGCAAAGTACCAGACAACAACAATAATAATAACAACAACAATAACAACAATAATAATAACAACAACAATAATAATAACAACAACAACAATAACAATAATAACAACAATAACAATAACAACGGAGGAAATAGCACTAAACAACCAAGAAACTTTACTGCTTGGTTTGCTAATTCTAAGCCAGACGCTTGGGGTAATACAGGTCTTCCCGTTATTTTGAAAAATATTAATGGTGTTATTACTAAAGCTTAATCTGATAAATGGTTAGCAGATATAACTAATGCAGCAAAAGCTTTCCCTGATTTTTGTAACAGTGGTAATGAATAAAAAGATAAGCAAGAGTTTGCTGCCTTCTTAACAATTATTGGTGCTGAAACATCATTTGATCCTTCAAATGGATTCCCTTGCACAAAGGAAAATGGATGTCCTAATTGTGATGCTTGTTCTTACAATTCTAAAGGAAAGTAATGCAGCACAACTCCTAATCTATAGTATTATGGAAGAGGTCCTTTATAATTATCTTGGGATTACAATTACATTAATTTCTCACAATATTACTTCAAAGATAACAGAGCTCTTACCAATCCTGACATTGTTACTTAGGACTAATAGACTTGCTGGGCTAGTGCAATCTGGTTTTGGATGACTCCCTAAAATTATGGTGGTTGGTGTATGCCATAAGCAGCATGGCCAAGCAGAGATGCCTGTGCTTAAAGCTGTCCTAATGGTCCTTCTGGCTGTTCTAACAGTGCTTGTACATCCAATCATTGGCTTAATACTGGAAAAGCAAGTCCCCATGATGCTATATAAACCGGAAAAGGTATTGGTTAAGTAATCAATATTATTAATGGTGGTTACGATTGTTGCCCTTCAACAACTTATAAGACCTAGTATGGTCACACTGTGCACAGAATTGAATGGTTTGCTGAAATACTTTAGCTGTGGGGAGAGCCTTTACCTTACTCAAACTTATCAACTGTTCCTATAGAAGAATGTCCTGCAGCTCAAGGATCAATAGATTGTAGCAGATTAGCTGGTACTTGCTATTGGAACTGCTGTTCTGCTAAATCATGATGATTAAATTAGCAAAGAATAATAAAAATTATGTTCTTTTTATATTATATTATAGTACCATATTTTTGATTTACTGCTTCATTATTTTTCTTTCTTTTTTTATAAGCACTTTTAGTCTTAATAACAGTCATCTTTTTAAATGAAAAGTTAATTAATAATTAAATTCAAAATTTTACTTAAGTAGATTAGGATTTATTAACTTTATTTTTGCTTTAGCCATCAAATAAAAACAATTTTTAATGATTGCTTTATTATATATATTTTTTTTCCCAGCTATTATGGCTACTATATTTTTGAGTTGTTGAATGTTTAAATTAAAAAACTTTTTGATAAGAACTTTCTGTTATCTAAAAAATAATTTATTTAAAATGAATAATTAATTTGATTATAAAAATTTATCATATTTTGTTTAAATGAAAAAATAATGAAGAAAATTATTAAATTATTTTTTTTAATTATTAGTTTGGTTTTATAAATATTTTTTATAGAGCAAATGTTAATTATTTATTTTTTTGGATGATCACCTTTGGATAAGTAATTATATTTATTAATAATTTAGCAATCGTATTATTTGAATAATGAATTATTTTGTATTATGTTAATCACACTTTTATGGGGTTATAAAAAAGATATTACTTCATTGAGAAAGTATAAATTAAATTTACATTATATTTATAATTTAGCTTTGATTATTAAACTCATGAATACCATAGAATGGCATTTAATTTTAAAATATTTAGACTTTCAATAATGCTTATATGTTCAAGAAATTTAATTTTTATAATATTAAGATGAATATATATGAATGGTTTTTGTTTTCTTATGTTCTAATTAAATATTGTTTTGAATAGTTTTTATTACTAGTAATCTTAGAAGATAATTTTTTTTCTGTTGTATAAGCAAACTGCTTAGTTGTTAAATATTATAGATATTAAAATATCAAAAGGATAGATAAATAGATAGAATACTAAGTGGTTCATATATTGAAATTTTGTTTAGATTAATAATAGATTCATTATAGGATTGCTTTTAGTTAGTATATTTATTGCATCAAAAAGCTAGAAATTTAAACCAATAGTTGTAGAAAAGGATAAAATTGCCATTTAAAAAGTTAAATATTTTATAAAAAACCTTTTTTGAATTATAGAATTATCAAGCAACCTTTGCAATAACATGAATTAAAATTAGTAAAATAGTAAAAACCCATCAGATTTGAGATAGGGGGAATATATTAGAGGATAAATGTTTGAAGTTAAATAAAGATCTTTTAAAAAAATGGAAAGCGGAGAAGAATTAATTATAAATTTTGAAAGTTCTCATACTTCTATTTAAAAAAATTTAGAGAATATTAATAATAATCATCATAATGAAAAAGGGGAAATAGTTTTCGATATGAATACTTTTAGGAAAAACTTTGAAGAGGAACTCAATACAAAAGATTACTCACCTATTTCTAAGATAAAAGGGTCTCCAAGCAAAACTTTTATTTAGTAGGATGTAGATTCTAATGAGTAAAAGGAATTAAATTTGAAAAAAAGTAGTGAAATTTAAAGCAGTTAACAAAGCCCTTCAAGCTCTAAGTAAAGTGATTAAATTAATGAAAATTCATCAATGAAACAGTCTAAAAATAAAGAGAGTGAGAGAAAAAATACATTTGAAGCATTTAATAAAAATGAAACTCTGATGATTAGGATGCTTTCAGATGATTAATATTAAAACAAGAAAATTGAGAAAATAATTGAGCCTATTAAATCTATTAAATCGAATCGTAGAATATTAAATGAAAGTAACACTCCAGTTGCTAGAGGATTTACACAAAAGAAGAAACCTCTAGATGAAATTTGGAAGAAAAAAGGTCTTAATATACTATTTCATGTAAAAAAGTACATAATGCTATTAAAAAACATATCATCTCACAATAACTTCAGATCTCTAAGCAAAAATTAGTTTGAAATAATAAATGATAAGGCTAACTATTATAGCTTCTACAAATACAATAATTATTTAGTTAATGCACAAACTTCTTTTATAGAAAAAATTGCATTTATGGGAAGGTAAAGAATTAAATTCTTGAACTCAAAATTAATTTAGATAATTTATAATTATTTTATAAATAACTTGATCATAATAAACCCAGAATCAGTTTACAAATTATTGTGGGATGGCTTTGTACTATTTTTGCTTGTAATAAATATTTTCTATGTCCCCCTCAAAATTGCGTTCTAAGACAGTGGAGGATTATGTAATATTTTTTTAAATTTTACTCACTTATTTTATTTGATGTTTTAGTACTAATGTCTTTTTTTTATATGTTTGAAAGTTTTTTTGTTACAAAAATATGTTCTAACTGTTAATATTAGCAAAAAAAGATATATTTTGGTGTAATTCTGGTAAAAACAACAAATTTAACCACAAAATAAGAATTATGAATAGTAAAAATATTAATTGGTTTAACTTTACTATTTTTTGAAAGGTGATTAAACAAACAAATTTATAAAATAGACAATTATTCAAAAAATAAGAAAAGCATGATTAAAGTAGAAAAATATGTTAGAAAATTTATTTATTTTTATAAATTAATTAGAATGGCCTTATTTATTGACTGTTTTCTTAAATGATATTCCTGGATGGGTGTTTCTTGGTGATATAATTTTAAACTTTTTTACTGCTTTCTACAAAAAGGGAGTTATTATTATGGAATTTAAAACAATAGCAAAATGGTATTTTAAAAACTAATTCTTCTTCGACTTGTTTGTATTCTTGCCATTTATTCTATCGAAATACTTTGCTATAAAATATCTTGATGCTATTTTGATCCTGCGTTTTAACAAGATACTAAAAATAGTCAACAATTACTTCGACTTACTTAACTTAAAAAGTGATTAGGCAGCTATATTTGATTTAATTAAGCTCATCTTTTTGATTTTATTTATAGCTCATTTTTGTGGATGCGCATTCTATCTTGTATCTTATATTGAAATATAATATGGAGACTACTCTAACTGGCTTACACATTCATTTAAAATTACAGATCCGAATTCTTCAGATTGGTTTCCATGCTATATAGCTTCATTTTATTGGGCTGTTATTACTATGATTACAGTTGGTTATGGTGATATTACTCCAACAACTACTGTAGAGAGAATTTTTGTTATTTTAATTTGCCTTGTGGGCTGTGGTGTTTTTGCTTATAGTGTAAACTCAATAGGTTCTATTATAAGTGCAATAACATAGAAATCAACTAATTTTAGATAAAAAATGTCTCTACTAACAATTCATATGAAAAAAAGAGGACTCAACACTGAATTGTAAATGAAAGTCAAAAAATACTTTGAATATTTAAATGATGAAAAATTAGAAGACAACCAAGAAGGAGAAAATATGCTTAAGGAACTTGCCAGTTCTCTTAAGCATGAAATAGCTGTAGATATATATGGAAAAATTTTAAACTAAAAAAAAATATTTTTCTTAAATTTCACCTAACCTTTTTTAATGGACTTAGCTCCAAAGTTGAAAGAAAAAAGACTGGGTCCTGAAGAAATAATCTACAATGAAGGAGAAAGCTAACCTAGAATATACTTTGTTATGAAAGGCAGTGTAAACCTATTTATAAATGTAAAGAAATCTAATCAATAACCTTACACAATACTAAAAACTGTTTCAAAAAATGGAGTTTTTGGAGAATTAGGATTTTTTTCAGGAATGGTTTCGAATCATGGCGCCATAACAACAAATGTAGTTTCTCTAGTTTATATTAACATAGAAGATTTTTTGGAAGTAGTTAAACACCATCCTTTAGATCATGAAAAATATAAATTCTTATCAGATAATTATGTTATTTATAGTAGTTCAAGAGGTTTAGGTGAGAAAATGGAAAAAATATTTGAGTAAATAATTTATTTTATAAAATTTATATTTAAAAAAAAGGTAGCTAATGCTAAGGTTGTGGAAAGTTTACACATTAAATAGATCATTGCCCGTTATTAAACTATGTCCCAAACAAAGACTAAATTATTTAAAAGCATAAAAGAACTGAGGATTAAATAAGAATCAAAGAATATAAAAGAAAAAGAGATAAATCTTAATCTCCTTGGATAATTGCTGATAGCTTAAAATAAGCAGTTCTATAATTAATAGTAGAGGTAGAAGAAATCAAGGATATAGAAGATTTATATCACAGATTAGAAGAAATGGAGAATAATGAAGACGATTATGATGATGGTAATAGCAGCGAGCATACTGAGAAAAAGTCTCAAAAAAATTTAGATGTAGCATTTAACATCAAAGACACTAAGAGCATTACTCAGAAGCAAGAGGAAAAGGGAGAAATAGAATTAATCAATAAAATTATACGAAGAGGAAGAAGATAGTAAACTATTAATATTAAATTTCAACTTTTAGATTGTATTTATGTTTTTTAAAAAAAGATAAACATATAGGAAAGTTTAAGTATAAACTATACAGCACAAAGCTAGTTTTACTATTTAAGCTGATAACATAAAAAGTTAACCAGTTTAAAGAAAGTAAAGTGAAGTTTTAGATGATTCTTTGAATCTACATTAAGAAGATTAACAGATTAGCAATAGTACAACTTCATATAAGGATATTAGAGCATAGATTAAAAGAGCTACTTTTATTAAAAAAATGTCAACCAGAAAAACAGGAGGTGGTAATAATAGCACAGCTTTAGATGAAGATAACTTAGGGCTTTTACCTGAAGCAGACTATAGGAAGATATCTATTAGAAAAGGAGCAGGAAAAACATTCTAAAATTCGGTTATGAATAATTTAATTCCAAAATAATTAACAAATGCTGAATTAGAAGAATAAAGAATAGAACAAGAAAAAAATCTAAGAGTTTTCTCTAAAATATTAGACTTAGATATACCAAAAGAATATAAATAATACTATCCATTTAATAATAAATCAAATGTAATTCTCTTATATAACTAGAGATTAAGGGTAGTATAAAAGTAAAATTCTTCTTAATAGCAAACAAAAATAGATAACCCAAGAAACATAAAAGAAATTTATAAAAATATTAAAAATAAAAGAAACTCAATCTAAATTTTAAACAAGTAAAATTTCTCCTTTGGAAGTTAATTAATGACACCAAAATCGTCAAGCAATAGAATGTATAATTTTTTTATTATTTATTTTTTCTAAAATATTTTTCATTATTAAGTTTAAGGAAGTAGCCAGCATTTAGTAATTTTAGCTCTAATATTAATAATCAAAATAATAATAATAATAATAATAATAATAATAATGTGAATGTACATCCTTCAAAGTTTAAATATGCTTATGAAGCCAGTTCTAGTAATGATAGTCCTATTAATTGATTTATATCACAATATATATACATAAAATTTTAATAATTAATCAAATTTTGGTACTTAATATAATATAATTTAATTTAAATATATTTATATAATTTATTAATTTAGTAAGTAATTAATTAATCAATTTATTTTATAATACTTGTGTCTTTAAAATTAATACCATCATTATATTTAAAATTTTTATAGTTTTTTTAATTACTTATAAAAATTTATTTTAAATAGATTTTATTTGAATAAAATATTTTTAGAAAAATATCTATATATATATAATATATAATAATAACAATAATAATAATAATAATAATGAAATTGTAGTTAATAAAGAGTTTCTAATTGATTGATTCTACTTTACTGATCACAAATTGACCAATAAGTATATTCAAAAATTAATTGAACTTATTTCACTTTTAATGTTGATTGCCTCATATTTATCAAATTAGCATGTATTAAGAGTATATTCTTAAGATTTATCATTCCTAGTACTTTATAATCTATCTTTAACTTATTATTAAAATTTTTTAAATTAATTTGAACTTTAAAATACTTAAATTTATTTACTTAAAGGACTTTACTTTGTTGTTCTTGTATAAAATGATAATTTTTTCTATAAGGTAGTTTTTGAATTTAGTTTTCTTTAACTATTTTTACTAATAACTTGCTTTTAGTTTTAAATTGTAAATTTTTAAATTTGTAATCGTTAAGTGTTATTACCTACTGGAGTATTCAATAAACCAAAGTGTTATTGAACACTTACTTGATTATAAAAATCATAATTTTTGATAAATTATACAAGCATTTTAATTTTCCTTTTTACATTTTTTAATTTAATGAGGGATTAAATTTTCATCGTATTCTCAATTTGAATGTATTTAAATAATCGTGGATATTTAACTTTTAGATAGTAGAGAATATTATGAATTATATTTCTTTTAGTTTAGTCAAACGGAATGATTATTAAAAATAAACCTTAAGCAAATTAGAAAACAAACAATAGGTTAATAAGGAATAAAGTCAAAGTGAGGAAGGCTCTTTCTGATAGCTGATCTGTTAACTTATTGTCTAAGATAGATATTATATTCAATGAAATAACACTTAAAATTGCTGATTACTATAATAAATTGTTAAAGTCTTTAACAATATAAGGTTTTAATTTAAAGATTATACAAATCCACAATAAAATAATACTGTTCAACAATGAGGTCTAAATTTAAAAAAAAAAAATATTTTAAGATTTTATATTTAAATTGTAAATTAAATTTACCTTTAATTATTAATCTTATTGTAATAATATGGATATTGATATTAATAGTGACTTATAAAATAGTTTACCAAATTCCCAATAATAAAATTTATCTTTAAATCCAGCAAATACAAATGAATATTTAATCTCTTTGAAAATAGACCATTTTTATTTTTTTCCATTTCTAACAGTTCTGAATAGGAATAAAGGTATTATTAAAGTCCAAATTATTAGTAAAGGGAGAGAGAAATAAATTATATAGGGTTTATGATATTTAGAATCCATACAGGGAATATTATAGTCAAGATCTAAATATTACTAATCACCTATTTGTATGCAATTTATAGATCTGCTTAAAAGAGTAACTACCATAGGGAAGAAGTAAAGATATGTAAAAATTAAAGCTGTTCTTAAATAATTCAGTAAAAAGTTATCTTTTTTTATCAGTTTAAAAATTAATGCCAATAAAATATAAAAAATAAGGACTAATAAAGGCAGAGCTAATGAAAGTAAGGTTTAATAGAACCACAAAGGTTGTAGAGTTTAATATTTGGATATAATGCAATCAAAAGATTTGCTTGTAATACTAAGTGAATTTCCATATAATAGAACCGGAAATTTAAAAAAAATAGGTATATTTATTTAAAAAGAACTCAGTAAAGAAAGTATTTAAAAATGATCAGTTAATATTTTAGTAACTATTTAAGGTTTATCTGATTGTCTTACTGTTCAATAAAATTTTTAAAAATTAATAAATATTTAATGAATTATTTTACAATTAGTTACATGTTGATCCTAAAAATAAGATTTCTGACTTGTTCAAAAAATAACCAATTATTTTTGTTTGCATTTTGTAGATGATTTTAATTAAAATAATAAAAATATATAGAAAGACAAGTAAAAATGTTAGAGAATTTTCAAAAGCAATAAGTAAAACACTATCATTACAATCATAACATACCTCAGAACTAAAAATTTAAGAGTATCTATTTCCCCATATTACTCCATATGAATCACACTGCTAGCAAAGTGGACCTTTGTGTCCACGTAAACACATGAACTATGATACAAAAAAAAAATAATCAAATGAAATGAATTTAAGTAAGCTAAATAAAAAATTTTTATTTTAAACTTTGATTATAATTAAATTTTAAAAATTAACATAAGACACTCCTCTCATTAAAATCAAAAATGAATAGAGAAAATTATTATTTTTTTTTTAATTGACTAGCAAAAATTAAAATCTCCAAAAATTTATAATCAGAAAAGTTTAAATATTTTCATGACTCTATTAAAAGCCCTGTTTTTAAAGGAAAAAAAAAAATTACCTTTGAATCTGGTGACTCAGCTTAGCAAAATTCTGGATTTTTATTACAATATATTATTATATCAGTTTTATTATTCTCTCTCCAATATCCATTCTTTAAATTTATTGTAGAACCATGGCATTCTTTAGCAGAATCTGGACACTGTTTACAAGAGGTGCTGTATTAATCTAAAGAATATTTTCCTTTTGGACACTCTTGGCAAATTATAGAATCAATTTATTGCACCGTTATTTCTCCGATTGAACAACTAGTGAAATTAATTGTAAAATTCTTTTAAAACTAATCTTAAAGGAAAAAAGTATTCCTTTTAGAGTCAATTAAATTAGGTAAAGTATCTAAAACTATTTATAGACTCATACTTCTTTAAGGCATATACATAATCTGAGATTGTAAATTAATTCCGTTGTTAATTACTTGTTTAGATTATACTTATCCTATCACCTGTATTTTCTTATTTGACTAATCCCAATTCAAAGATACAGATAATGACTAAACAAAGCTTTGGATATCACTGCTGTAAAATTAAAATTCTGTTATATTTATATTCGACATCTTTATTGGATTATTTTCTTCATCAAGTAATTATATACCTTCAAAAGTAATTTAATTTCCACTTTTGAACTCTCTTATTTCTATTTATCTTTCACCCAAAATTTTTACACTTCCTTTTGGTATTTTAATATTCTTTAAGTCTATATCAATTTTCCTAATCGTTGAGCCAATATTATGCCCAAAAATTTTAGCATAATTGTTTATGATTTTATTTTTATTATTACTAATATTATTAGATTTTTCTAATACAAAATCTGGTATAACTTATTCATAGTAGATCCCGCCTCCTATAATCGCAGTATTAGAAGTAACATTAGAATTTTCTATTATCAAGTTTGCATATGACAAGTTAATTGCTCCACCAGTTGAAAATGCAGCTGAATTAAGTATAAATTAACACTTTTATATATTTACTTAAGCAATGTTAACAAAATTCTAAATGCTAATAGCTCCACCATTTAATCTCAAGCATTTATTTTATTTAAATATGGAATTCTATATCAAAATATGCAAACAGTTAAAAACATACAAAGAACCTCCTATTCCATTAAAATTAGTGTTATTTTTAAATTGGCTATTATTTATTGTTATACTATTACATTAGCTTACATATGCTATTGATGTATATAAGTTTTACTTTAACACATTATTCTCTATTAAAACTTCATTAAAAAGAATCGTATCTACGAAATTCAATTCAATTAACGGCTCATTAATCTCTTAACTAGAAAGTCTTGAAAAATTCATAGTAAAATTACCAACATTATCAGGTTGCTAATTTATTGATAATACGGTTATTTAATTATTCAAGGATGTTAAGTTGTTTATGATGCAATTTTAAAAGTCAAAAATCTATAGAAATACATATTTATTGTTATTAATATATTAACTCTATATTAAGGTGCCGTCTAACTGTGGTTGTACTTCTTCGATTTTGAAATTTGTAATTACTAAATTTGTAGATTATACTTAAAAGCAAGTTTTTGATATTGATGATTAATAAATATAAAAATCAGATATAGAAGTATTAGAGGCCTAAATATCAAATGAAACTTCTTTAGAATTTAAAACACTGATGCATTATATTACATCAGATAGACAAGTATACTAAATATTTTTTTCGTAAAATGGCTCTATTGTTAATATTTTAACTTAATTACTACTATTTACTGTAATTTACGAAACTTAAATTTCAGCAATCCCTTAAAGATACAATAATTAAGTAGAATTTACTTATTTTAAATAAATATTTGTGATATTTAATTTTAAGCAAAGAGAAATTTAGAAAACTGAAATCAAGATAGCATCAAATACTTAGATATCTTATATATCAATGTATTAATTGTTTTAGATCTAAAAAATGTTGTTTTTACTTAACTTATTAATGAATATTTGCTTTATAACCAAATTGACGTTATCTGATAAATAAAATGTAAGTTATTCAGTTTGAATGCTATCAATTGTAATATTTTCAATTATTACTAATTTATTGTTAGAAATAATTATTTGATTATTTCCAAGCTTTTTGCTATTGAATTTTATATTTTAAAGATAAACCTAATCAAAATTGGAAATATTAAGAGTATTCTCAACATTTAATATTATGTCAATCAACTAGAAATTTTTCATTTCAGCATTTTAGTTTAAGGTAATGCTGTCAATTATATTTAAACTCATATTGTTTATAAGCACATTTCTAATGTTTTGTGAGTTAATTTGATTTTTCGACCAATAAATGTTATTAAAAATTACGCTAGATTAGATAACTAAAGAAAGAAGTTTATTAGGATCTATATTTTTTTCTTAGATATTGTCTAAATCAATGCTTTAAATATATTATTGATCTAAGTAATTTATTTTAAAAACTGAAAGTTTTTACTAACTGCTTTATAAAGTATTAAGACTATTACTTAGTTCAATTAGAAAATAAATGTTTTCTAAAGGTCTAATTTGCTATAAAATTTCTATATTACAAGATTGTTTTTTAGACAAAGGTATTATCTAGTAGAATATATTTCGATAGGAAGAAAATAGCATTTCCAGAAAGATGTTATTATTTGAATCTTTGTTTAATTCAACTTTAGAAAGTTGCATACCTTCTTAATCTATAATTTAAATTAACTCATACTAGGAATTAAAACTCAATTTTACAAGTAAAGAATTAAGTTTTTATGTGATAATAAATAAGTTATCATATTAAATATTAACTATATTTGTCACTTCTTTTAAACCTGATTGAATTTTAGGGTACTACTACTAGAAGCTTAAACCGTTATAAATTATGATATCATTTGGACATATTGAGTAAATAAAATAGGAATCAAAAGAAATCTTAGCTTACTTTAAGCAAGAGTTTTAAATTATTTTAATTAATTTTAAGCTATAATTAAATACTAGTGTCTATCCTTAGTTATTAACTAAAAGTATTAATTAGCGGAAAGGATCATTGACAGCATTTGTTATTTTACTATCTTAAACTGAATAGCTGTATTTTATTTCTTAGGTATCTAATTGGGCTATAAAGATTTTAAATATATTATTTTCTATAGCTATAACACAGATAATAAGCAGTTGTTATGAGTCATTTGTGTTATACCTATCTTCGTATTCATAAGGAATATTCCACCATTAATTAGAATAATTCTAAAATTATTTAACTTGAAGTTTGAAAACAAATTAAATTTTAAGTGAATTTTAAAAAACAATTTACTTTTACTTTTGTTGAATAAAATTAAATGTATAAATCTTATAGGTTGAAGGAATTATAATATATTAATAATATACGAAAGATTGTGAAACATCTCCGTCATTAAAGTTAGCTAGATTAATTTCAGTAGAATTTTACATTTCTAAACTCAAACTGGTTAGTTGATAACTATTCTCATACAAAATTAGAACTTAATTTTGTATCTTATCATAAAAAAAGTTATCAGGTAAATTTTTTAATTTGATTTTATTAACTAAAGTTAATTTTTATTTTTCTTAATCAAATTAGATTTAATTTAAATTCTCGAATTAAATATAGATAAAACTGCTATCATTTATCTTAATTAGCTATGTTAAATATGGATAAACATTATAGATAGATGGCTCAAATAATAAGGTATCAATTAATTTTGCGTTTTTATACAAATTTAAAGAGAGATTAACTATGTTATAATAAACTTAATATTCTCTATTTATATTTAAAGTTTATATGTTTTGATACTAAAGCCAGATTGACCTCACTTGCATAAAGAACCTCTGTTAAATCAAAAGTTAAAACTTTATTTAAGGTTAAAGCTGTTAATATAGATAGATTTGTATCCAGAAACACACTTTAAATAGGAGTTAAATCTTATAGCTGTGCAAACGTTTCAATAAATTGCATTGAAGAATATTCAAAAGCTGAAATATAAAAATCAGAATATAAAAAAACTATATTTTTATATTTGTCTATTAAAATTCCTTAAGTATTTTATACTTCAATTTGATAAAGAGTTATATTTTTTGTTAAATAATTATAAAAATACATAATTGGAGTTTAATCAACTAGCAGTAAAATATTTTTCTCTTTGTAAAAGAAAAAAGCGTTTTTAGAAAATTAGCTTACTGTCTAGTAAGTAAACAATTAATTATCTCCAGGTATATTTATAGAATTAATTTATTTGAGTGTTCCAGTAACTCCAATTAATATTTTATTATTAAAATCATAAAGTAAATTAGTTACATTTTATCTGTAATCAAACAAGTATTTAAAGCTTGAAAAATTTCCATAATAGAATAAATTATTATTAAATTTGTAAAAAATAGCTAATAATGGGCCTTAAATATCTACCAATGGTGTTATCTATTGTATATTCTTCATAAGTTGCTTTATTATTAAAAAATTTAAGGAAGGGTTTAAAAATTTTTTTTTTAAAAAATTAAGAATAAAACTTGAAAAAAGAATGTACAAAAATAAAAATAAGGAGTTAAGGTAATTTATTTATCTTCCATGTAAGTTATTGTTGTTGTTTGGTATTTTAAAATATAAAATTAAAATTATCTTTGTATTTTACTTAAAATTTCTATAAAAAAAATAGATATTTAAAAAGTTTGAAGAATATTTTTATCTAATATTGAGTCTGAAATTATATAATAAGAAAAATAAAATTAATAAATTTACCTAAGTAAACTTAGGAGATAACTTTCCAGTATTCAAATCATATATTTAAATATAAGTATAATATATTATAACCAAACTCTGTTCGCATTTTAGATTAAAAAGTATCTGCTTTTTTGGTATATCATTTATTGGGCTTATAGGAACTTTTGTCATATTTTTAAACTAGTATTCCATAATTAAAATGATTTTAATATTGTCAAATTAAAAAAAAAATTACATTAATAGAATATAATTAGTAATCAGCTGTTTGTACTACTATTATTTGTTATTATGAGCAGTATTCATACATTATTATGTTAGGTTATATCTGAGAAATAGTTTATATTTATTGACTGGCTAATTCATTAAATTAATAAATAGTGTTATTACTTATAAAAGCAAAAGATAGAGGTTCCCAGTTTAAAATAAAAATTTTAAAATCAAATTTTTAGTCAAATTTAAAGCTTCTTATTCCATTAATTTTAACTATATTTAATAGTATTAACATTTTAGTTGAATTATCATAAATTGCTATTCGGTTTTGTTAGAGTTAAATATCTTATATTATTTGATTTTATGTGATGTTATAAATATTAAATGGATAATTAAATAAATTTAGATGCCAAAATATTCCATTTTGAGATTAAAAAATGTGAATTAATGTATTATCATCAGTAGAA